GAGAGGGAAGTGCTCACGCTGAGAGCAATGGCTAGATCACAGCTACTTATCCAACAAAAACTAAACTAAAAATGCAGTAACAATGTGTGGGAGGAAAAACTAAGTACACTCAAGTTTTCTATACCACTTCGTCAGTCTCTTAAATTGTTGTGAAGGAATTTTGGTCTGTTCTTCTTTGTTTCTTCAGTTCACTGAGGTTTGCAGGCATTTGTTTGTTCACTGCTGTCTTAAGGTCTGGTCAAGGTCTGGACTTAAACTAGGCCAATGCAACACATGGATTGCTTTCTTTTTCAAACGTTGCGTTCTAGATTTGCTACTGTGTTTGGGATCATTCTTCTGTTGCATGATCTAATTTGCACACGGTGCCAAAGCTCCTGTTAGTACTCAAAGTGATGATGATGACAATAATAATGATGTTAACATATTTTATTTATTTTTGTTCTTTTACAGAAAACTGAAAAAACATCTTGAAGATTTGGATGGCAGCAGACATTTTACCACCAGGTAAAGAAGAATTTTAGTGTTAAGCTTTTGAGTGTGTTCTTTCTTTTTGTTTTAAAATGGCACATCTATGTCTTGAGTTCAGGACTGGTGTATAGGTAAGTAAACAAAACCGAAGTACATCAGGTAACCTAAATTAGCTCAAGTGGAATACGTTCCACAAACTAGCCCAATAAAAAATCAAAAACCGTATGTGATGTTTTTGAATTTTAAGTACTTGCTTACAAGATAATCGTGTGCACCTCTGGATCTCTTCCAGCACAGATCCCCTATTGTTTGCTCAGTTGAAGGTCCATTCTGGCCACTTGCCCCTGCGTTATTAACAAAGATCCAACATTTTCCCAAAGAAAAGAACTTCTGTTTTAAACTGACCTGAGTTTTGGATGTATTATCAAGACAGATGACAATAGATGGTTACTGGCTGTGACCCACCAGTTTACAATTGAAGACTCATCATATTCCAAGCTAATAAGCAGCACATGAGTTGAGGAGTCCAGCCAGTCATACATTATTTTTTTTTCAACATTCAGTGGGATGTGCACTGGGAAGTTGTCCACCATTCACACAGGGATAGGGACAGAACAAGATTTCCATAGAGCAATCTACAAATAGCAGCAGCACTGAAAAGGGTCTGGATGTGTTTATCTGGAACAATAGTAGTCAAACTATTATTTAAAAAATGGATATTCACAAAGTCCCGTCGTTTGCCCTTGGCAATGTATGTTCGTCTTTCCAGGCCTACAGATTCTGCAGTTTCCTACTTCTAGAGTCCCATGGAGTGTGCATCCATACTCCTCCAACATGGGCTGAAGTAGTCAGTAGCCAGGCTACTTCTGGCTTGAAGTAGTCCATAGTCCAGTAATTTAGTCAGCTTTTTTTAGTTGTTACCAAGTACCCAGAGTTTAACCATTAAGGGGATTTTTACATTAAACATTTCAGACAAACACTTGGCAACATCTTTCTACAATTCATGAACTTCAGAACATTCCCATAGACCAGGGGTCGGCAACCTGCGGCTCTTTAGTCCTTATAGTGCGGCTCCACGTGGTTTGGGAAAATAAATTTGAAGTATTTAGCTAAAGTGTATTTTATTTATGTTAGGTTTTTTTTATTATGTACTTCTAAATTGGAAGATTATTGTGACATTGAAATATAAAAATAAAATTGTATTTTGTTATTTTTTCATCGCTCAAAATAAGCGTCACACTCGCGGAAGCCGGTGTACCCGCTGAAATGCCGTGCATTTATAGAGACTTTCAACCCCAGGTAGGCCAGTTATGGATCTTCGGATCCACATTATGTCGGCAGCTGTTCTCCTCCGTGAACTATGTTAAAAACAAACACCGCTCACGCCTCACAGATGACAGCTTACAGTCCTGCGTGAAGATGAAAGTGACTTTGTACAGCCCCGATTTGCAGACGCTGTGTGCAGAGATTCAGGAGCAGAAGTCCCGTTGTAAACATACCACGGCAGACCCAACGATGTTTGCATGAACATGCTTTTCAGCATCTCTTTATTGACCACTTTTCACACACGGTTGCTGTACGCACACAGCCGGCTGTAGCTTTTCAGCTCACAGCCCGACATATACCAACAACAGCAGATAGAGCACAGACGTTAAACGGCGAGCCACGATTGCGGGTGCCGCTCAGGTGCGTCCGCCTCCCCTGCAGCGGCGCTGCAGACCACCCTGCCACACACATTAACCTGGTAAAATATATATTTAGGCAGAATTTTGCAAATATCTATTTTGCATTTTTCAGTAGCATAGTGCTTTTTTTCCTATTATTATTATTATTATTTTTTTTTTTTTAAAAGTCAGGTCAAGGCTCCAAAAGCCCAAAGTCGATATAAGGGTGGCGGCTCACAACAGTTTGTTTGCTACATGGATCATTTTAGTTCAGCTGGGTGTCTTTCCTTTTGTTATATTTCTTTAAGAGTTCAAAATGTGTTAATTACATGAATAAAATGTAATTTTCTCTGTAGCACTTCATGGATTTCATAAGCAACACACTTTAGTTGTTCACACAAAGCATAAAGGTAAAAAACAATATATACAGTGTTATCTTCATTTTAGATGTCAAAAAGTATTTGCGGCTCCCAGTGTTTTCTTTTGCGTGGAAATCGGCTCCAAATGGCTCTTTGGGTCTTAAAGGTTGCTGACCCCTGCCATAGACAATGGTGAAGAGATAAGATAAGATAAGATATACCTTTATTAGTCCCACAAGTGGGAAATTTCATGTTAAGGCTGCTGACCTATTGCACGCAATGGCGGCGTAATCTTACCCTCCGACCATACACACATTACACAAAAACATCACATGAGGAAGATAGGTCAGAGAGGTATAACAATGGAAAATGCACCACATGAGGAAAGATAAGGAGAAAAAAATAACTCCCCCCAGACTGAGCTCCAATAGGGAGATCCGTTTGAGAACAGAAAAAAAAACACCTCTACACATAGCACATGAAAAAACTCTTAATACACCAAAGAAACACATGACAAGCAACAGGGGTGGGTAAAGGGTGAGAGACGGCCAATGTAGACAGTACATCTGGGCCTGGAGCCTATGTGCTGGTCCTCGATCCACCGTCAGCATCGGAAGGGAATAAGTGTCGAAGGTGTTTGAAGGGGGAGGGGGGGATGAGTGTACATCTGCATGTGTATAAATGTCTGTGTGCGTGTGTGTATGTGTCCAGAGTTCAGCTGAGACAGCGTCCTTCGCCCTGCCAGGCTAAGTAAACAGTCTTCCAGCCAACCCAGGTGGCCTTGAATAGAATGGGAAGAACAGTCTAAACACAGTCATTATCAGGGTGTTTTTGTTCAGCTTCAGCCTTGAGACCGCAGCTGGCGCCGAAGGGGTATCCGCATGAAGTGATGGTGGTTTTTACTTTAGTGCGAACAACTCATATGATTTTCAAAGCTCTTCTAACTGTCTGACACTGGTCTCTCAATCTCCCGTTGGAGAGCCGCGAGCTTCTCCAAGATCTTATCCGTGCTGCACTCAATGAGCCCATTTTGAGAAACTCATGCGTCGTCCCATCGTTTCAATCCCAGCGGGCAGCCTTGTGGGGGTTTGAACAGCTGGTTCCGCTTTCTTAATTCTTCGATAAGTCAGGGCCAAGCCAGCTCTGATCAGCAAGAACCCTGTTATCATGGTTCCTAATAGGTCGATATCTTCTGCACTCAGGCTCACCTGAGCCCAGACTTCTCGTTAAGAAAAGGGTGTCAATTGCATTCAGGAACCAGTTGATCAAACCCATAATTCCTCTTTTAGGTTTTAGAGAACAGACTGTGAGAGTGTTCCAGGGAAAAGTAATACAAAAAACACGAGACTAGACAAGGACATGAGGCTAAGCAGGGAGGAGAGGCCTTCGTCACCATCTGGCCTTCGTCAAGAGCAAGAGCAGAAAAAAAAAGTTCCTTCTTCAACTAAACGTTTGGTACAAATGTCTGGAATGTGATTGGACATATGATAGAGCCTGACGGGTGTTATACTGTACGTATGAGTGCTTTAAATTGCACAAGTTTAAAGCATGTTTTTATTGTTTGTTTTTTGTGTTTTTAAACAAAACAAAACAATGTTTAAAAACATTTGTTTTCTTGGATATCCCTTCTCCATGCATCTAACTTATCCGCTGCTGAGTCTGAGGACGAAAGCGTCAATAAGTTATAATGCATAGAGAGAAAGCCTTTCCCTTTTATATTCCCAACGCATACCACCTCTATTTTTGTTAACGGTGGAAGCTGATGTTAGTTGGGCAGTCATGTAATACCATCTGAGACTGGGGAGTTGGAGTCGTCCTATTTCATAGGTCAAGTAAAGTAGCTTTAGACAGAGCCTTGCCCTCCTATTACTTCAAATAAATTGGTTAAATAGTTTGTTTAAACTGTCAGAGAATAGAGTTGGCAGCAGAGGTGTTTGGAAATAATATAACAAAAACTTTGTCATTTTTTAGTATATCTATCAGACCTATCATAGATATAGGCAGATTTGACCATCGATTTAGTGCTTCTGTGACTTCTTTTACAAGGTGGTCATAATTTATTGAGGTCAGTACCTTGGGATCCCACAGGCAAATGAAACCACGAAGAGGCCGCTAGCAAAGCTGCAACCACGAAGTACCTGCAGAGGGTCAGGCAAGTCCTGAGGAGTAAGCTGAATGGTAAGAACAGATCCGGGCTAACGCCTACACCCTGCCTGTGATCAGTTACATTGCTGGAATAATAAGATGGCCAAAGGAGGAAATAGAAGCCACTGACATCAAGCTGGAGGGTTTCACACAAAGTCCAGCACCCTGAGGCTGTATGCTAAGCGTGAGGAAGGAGGCCGGGGACTGGTGAGTGTCAGTACCACAGTCCAGTGTTAGACAACAAACGCCCACGAATACGTCAGGAAGATGCCCCCAACCCACCGCATGCTCAAGACTAAGAGGAGGAACCATCGTGGAAGGATAGGCCCCTGCACGGTACGTGCTACCAGCAGATAGAGGAAGTGGCTGACATCCAGAAGTCCTACCAGTGGGTGGACAAAGCTGAACTGAAAGATTATGTGAATTACCCTCAGAAGATCTACTAGATGATGTGAATGCAGCACTATTGGACAGTACCTATGGTACCAAAGTACGGTATCATTACCGAGACTAACCAGCTAACACTACGGCAGCAGTGATCAGTGAGATGCTTGGCTACAAGTTGAAAAGCCACACGAGCAGTACCCTAGGAGACTAGAGGCCAAAGTCAAGGTAGCACGAAAGGAGGTTAGCTAACTATCAGGGCTGCAGAAAGGTGCAATGAAGAATAGAGAGATAGAAGGCAGGAGAATAAACCAGCTGTTCCCCAGAACCAGACAAGATGAATTGGAGGAGATTGATGTGAAATTGATTAGAGAGAAGTATATAGAACTGTGAGAAGTGGTGAAATTATGGACAGTGGAACACAAACCTGAAACAGAAACTGTAAAAGTTGGACCTTTTGCTTTCAGTAAAGCATCAGTTATAATTTGAAGGCAGATGTTCTCTGTTCCTGGTTTGCATCCCAATTCTTCAGTTTTGGCTACTGCTCAGCAAGTCATTGGCACCGCAGGCCATGCCACATACCCCGATTGGCCGACTGAGGCCAAGGAGCCACCTGGCCAAACCTAAGCCCACCCCGCGTGACTGAGAGAGGGAATCGGCCTGGACCGTCGGCACCCCCAGCCACAGGTGCAGCAACAGGGCAATGACAGCTCGGGCAGCCGCCCACTTCTCCAGCAGCAACAGCGAAGCTGGAATCAAATTAGTAGGTCGATGATCTGTGCCTGCTACTGTGCCAAACATATTGTTTGGAGTTCTGTGCAAAGAGTGGAGTTTTATTTCTTATTAAACCAAAGACTTTTTTCTTTAAAATGCCGTATGGGTCTCATAGTTGCTCAGATCTAGCTGCTCTACCATAAAAGTCTGTAAGGCAGGGGTGGGCAACTCCAGGCCTCAAGGGCCAGTGTCCTGCAGGTTTTAGATGATCCAACACAGCTGATTCAAATGGCTAAATGCCCTCCTCAACATGTCCTGAAGTTCTTCAGAGGCTTGGTAACAAACTAATTATGTGATTCAGGGGTGTTGACCCAGGGTGATATCTAAAACCTGCAGGACACCGGCCCTCAAGGCCTGGAGTTGGCCACCTCTGCTGTAAGTGCTGCCTATTTGGTCATCTATTATGACACCTGAAGCTCCATTACAATACTGGGATTTGGGCACCCCCCTGACCAAGAATCAACTTACTTAGATATTAGGTATGGCCAGAAAGCCTACTGAAGAGGTTCTCAACTTGGTGGCTTCCATGGTGTCAGTTTCATTAGCCTTGTAAATGCGGACTCATCAAGTTGTAGACACAGGCCTTTCTCAGATATTATTTGGAGTGCCATAGCGGATGTGAATACTTCCAAAATAAGACATTGTAGTTGCAGAGAAAACAGTTATAAAATATTTTTTCATATAATTTTTGACTGTAGAGTGGTGGCAATACCAATTTGATCATTAAAACTTTAATTTATACTAACAACAGCAGTGTGAAAGAGGTGTGATGTGTTTTTTCTGATGTTTTCTGTAGCTTGTAAAATGTTCAGAGCAATAAAAATATTCATTTTAATTTTTACACAGGTTTCCAATCAGATGTAATTCACATTTCTCTGGACAGTCCATAGATGTTTAAAATAAGGTGAGATTTTTATTTTTATTTTTTAATTTTTCTGTGGATGGTTTTGGTTTTAATTTGTATTTATTCATTCTTTGTTTATCTGTGTTTTCAGGCTACAGTAAGCCTTAGTTACTACTCCATATTGAGGATGGCGCATGGGTGGGATTCATATTTCCATAATCCCCCACCTCTACCATCAGATCCAGGGACTTTGAGAAGGACATCTGAGTCAGATGGGTGCCTTTCCCATCATATTGAGGACTTTACTGGACATCATGGCTTTGCCAGCGCTGGTGCTTCACATGAAGCCCCTGTCTTTAACTCGGACTTTAACACAAACTATTGCTCAGACCCCAGTGTTGTGAATTCCAGGTCAGATTATGTTTATCAAAGATACTGTGGTGAAACACAATGGCAAGCTGATGGAGAACAAATGGGAAAGGATTACTTGCAACGATGTGAAAATGGTAATATCCCGGATTTTGCTGCAGACGGATTGCAAACATCTGACTCTTTTCCATCATCTTTTGGAACAGACTTTCAAGGACTTAAGGAAGATTATGAAATGCCAAGTACATCATTTCTTGAGAACTACTCAGATGTCAGTAGCTGCTCTGATGCAGACGCTGGTGAAACAAGACCACCTTGTAAATTCATGGCAAGTAAGTCCTATTCAAATCCTAAAACTGATGGTTCCGAAAAACAAGGCTCATCATCATGGTTTTTTACTCATACGGATAATATGACTTTTCCGACTGAGAGTTTGTGTTCAGATATGTCGGAGACTGATGTACTTTTATCGTCAAATTTGAAGGCACGACAAAACATAGTTCAGTCTCCAGAGGACAGTTTGGAAAAATTAGAGAAAACAGTTACATCATACACAGGACATCATCAGTCCTCTACTACCTCCTACATGAAGACAACTACCAAGAGCAAAACTGAGCTTGAAATAAGTGAATACGGTGGTTTCCAAGATGAAAAACAAAGGAAAGATGTGGAGGGAGATCTTGCACATACTCATTCAGACCTCTTGATAAGTGGTCATGAAAACTTTGGTCATGGAATAGATGAGTATCCAGATGACAGTGAGGAAAAGCAAATTACTTCAGCTTCTCCAAATATCATAAGTACGTTAAAATATGATCAAGTTCCCATAAATGAAAATGGCTCACAAAAGGACATGAAAGAACTGTTGAACCAAGAAAAGGCAGGACTTAATCATCCAAACTCAGCAGATGGTCAAAATGGAAATATGGGTCAAGATGTGCAAAACAATGATGAGGTCTTTGAAGGGGAAACGAGAGAATCAGATTTACTTGAAAACAAGATTTCAGATGAACATAAATCCCAAATTCCCAAATCCAACAGAGGTCAACTTGAAAATAAGGATTCTGACTGCCAGAAGAAAGAAATTCAGACAGATGCCATTAAATCCTCCAAGGCATCCAATTCTAATGCTTCTACACAACAACTGTGGAAATGCACAAGGACCAGTCATGATGTTAAATCTAACTTATTATCTACACAAAAGTCTGATGAAAGTGTGGCTGGTGAAGTTTTTAGAAACCTTGATGAGCACAGTGAAGATCTGTTGAGCGATGTCAGTATTTCAGGGCTTTCAGAACCAAGTTTGATGCTTAAAAGCTGCAGCAACAACATACATCTCAATGTAGATGAAGTACAAGCAATTGCAGGAGAAAAGTCAAACGTTGAGATTTCTCCTGATCCAGAATGTAGTGGCCGAACTGACACTAAAGACTATTTATGTATGGACACTAAAGATGAGAACAAGCAAGGTGCAGGCGTTCATGTAGGATCCTGTTTAAAGTTGAACAGCTTGAGCCAAGGTGCAAATGCCCATGTAGACACAGAACTTTCAAGTGCAGCAGAGAAGACAAATATGACTTTTTCTTCAGATTCAAATTGCAGTCGTCTCTCTGCCAGTAATGAAGGTCTTTCTACAAATACTAATGACTTGAACAAAGACAGTGTTGCCACTCATCCAGATTCCTCCTTGCAACTGCAGACGCCTGGTACGGATACACATCCCTCTCTAGAAATGGAAGACACTAGTCAATCGGAAAAGAAAAACCCAACCTCTCTTCCAGATCAAGATCATAGTGATCTCAATATCACCAGAGACAGTCTTTCTATTGACATCACTGACAAGGACAGGCAAGGTGTTGATCATCATTCAGAATCCTGTTTGGAGCCAGAGAGCTTAAACACAGATACACATTCTTGTCAAGAAAGGACATTTAAAACTTCGCTAGAAACAACCTTGGTCTCCTCTCCAGATCAAGACTGTAGTGGATCCAGTGTCACTGTTGATACTAGCAACAAGAATCTCAGCCATTCAGAATCTCCTTTTAAACAAAAGAGCTTAAACACAGATGTGCAAACCTCTGTAGAAATGGAATTCAAAAGTCAGTCTGAGAAGAAAAACCCTACCTCCCCTCTAGATCAAGACTGTAGCAGCCCTAGTGCAACCTGTAAAAGTCCCTTTGTTGATGCTGTTGACAAGAACAAGGGAAGCGTTGCTGCTAATCCAGAATCCTCCCTTCAGTTAGAGTACTTAAACACAGACACACATCCTCTTCTAGAAGGAAGCAAGGAAAGTCCAACCTCCCCTCCAGATGTAGATTGTAATTGTCCCAACATCACCAGTGACAGTCTTTCTGTTAATAATACTGACAAGAACAAGCAAACTGTTCCTAGTATTTCACAATCCTGTTTAAGCACAGACACGTGTCCCTCTAAAAAAATGGAAATCAAAACCTCTTCTCCAGATCAAAATTGTGGCAACACCACTGTAACCGGTGACGGTATTTCCATTGACACTAGTGACGATAACAAGCAAAGTGTTGCTGCTAATCCAGACTCTTCCCCACTGAAAGAAAGCTCCAACACAGACACACATGGCTGTGTAGAAAATGAATGTATAAGTCCCGCTGATAAGGCAAGAGCAACCTCTTCCACAGATTATGAATCTAATAGCCATGTGGTGACAAGTGACTGCAACAGGCAAAGTCCTAATAGTTTAGAATCCTGCTTGCAATCAAAACCCTCAAGCTCCAACACAAATTTTTCAGACTGGGCAAGTTCAGAAGTGAACGCAAAGACAACCTGTTCTCTTGATCAGCAGCAATCACTACGTGAAAGTCCAGTTGGCCAAGAACCTCTGGGTCTTGGGGAGGATTGGTCTGAAAATGCTAGAGACTCATTTGAAGACATGGACATCTCTACAGAGGAACAGCCAGACATGCTGTATGGTGAACCTCTGTCCAGAGATGACTCCTCATGTGACACTAATGAATCACAGTATAAAGAAGCATTTGTTACTGAAACTGATGGGAAGAACATGGACCATTCAGGAGGACAAGCTCCGCAACTAAAATCCGCAGCTGAAATGAGGAAAATGCTGCAACCTGTTGTAATATTGAAGAGTTTGGAGTCAGAAAATGGAACAAGTGACTCGTATTACTGTGCAGATTGCAAACACACAACTTATAGCACAGATCAATCAATTGAACACTACCATTGTTGCCATACAGTGAACAATTTTGACTTTTGCAAAAGTTGCAGTCTCTATTTGGTGAAAAATGAACAAGCTCGAAAACATTTGTGTGGTGACGTTAAAGACGGGTCTCAGCGTCCTTCAGATCCTAGCCCACAGAAAAAGGGAAATCGCCAAGGCAACCATAGGTGCAATAGGTGCAGACTGACATTTTCAAAAGTAATGCATTATATCAAGCACATGCGGACTCACACTGGGAAAACACCATTTAGGTGTAATGACTGTGGCTCTTATTTTGCACAAGGCGGGAGCCTGAAAAGACACAAGCGTGTACCTGGTAGATGCAAGCAGTCCAACCTCCCAGCTAAAAATCCTGATGTGGCTGTGAGACAAACTGACACACCAAAACAAAAGGATGGGGTGCAAAGTAACATAGATATGCCAAAATGTTTTGTTAAGCTTTTCGACATCTCCCAGACAAATCTGTGTGGATTATGTGGTAAAACCTTCCCTACTGCAGAAAAGGTTAAAAAGCATCTCTATAAAGTACACCATGGAAAGGGTACAGTAGTGTCGTTAAACCAGAGTCCCACAGCAGTCAGTGAGAGTGATGAAAAGCAGGAGAAAACTCAAGAAGTGGAGAATGACATAATAGGAAAATATAAATGTCCTCTATGCCCACGGCTTTTTAAGTACTCTTACAATCGAGCGCGACATTTGCGTGACTGTGTTCGAGATGCGATATATGGTGGCAAGGAAAAAATTGCTGGTAAATATCGATGTCCTTTGTGCCACACAATGTTCACTATGACATCCAATCGATATAGGCATATTAAAACAAGCTGCCTCAGAGAATTTCTTAATCAACTAGCAAAAGAGAAAGCAAAAGAAAGGACAACGGTTGAGAAAGAAACAGTGGAAAGAAAGCAAAAAACACAAACTGTTGAAAAAGAGCAGAAAATGCAAACGAGGGAAAAGGAGAAGAGAAAACGACCACCATCAGCTTTGACAACCTCCACGTCTGTGCCACGATACAAATGCAACCTCTGTCCTGCAGTTTTTTGTTACGCTTCTGGAAAGTACAGACATATGAAGAAACACGAGTTGTTTAAACTCACTGGGAAAATTATCAGGTACCGGAATTCCATTTTCTCCACCAAGAGTAATCCTGAAACTTTAAATGGTACACAGAATGAAGATGGAAAGGAAAACTTGAACTCAGCTGAAGCAAAGAGCAATCTCAGTTGTCGCTTCTGTGGTAAATATTTCAGCTCTTCACAGTCACTGAAGAAGCATGAACGCAATCACCGCGGTGAGAGACCATACCGCTGTCTGGAATGTGGAAAGGGATTCAAGAAGCGATCCCATCTGATTGCTCACAAAATTATTCACCAGAGGAGGATACAGTGCACTGTCTGCAAAAAGATTCTACCGACTATTGGAGAACTGATCCAGCACAGAAGTTCACATCTAAGGAGGGGAACGCTTCAATGTCCAGACTGTACTATGCAGTTTCAGCATCCCGCACATCTCCTCAGACATCTAAAAACCCACAAAAATAGAGAAAACAGGGCACTTAGACTTGAAGAGGGAACAGAATCAAATCTTCAGCAAACCTTGGAATCTGTGGAAGAAGAGGATGAACCAAAGCAAATGCAGTGTTCCTTATGTAAAGAAGTATTTGATGATGCCCAAGTTCTAAGAAAACATTGTCTCACCCATATATCAGGGTCTTCTTCAAACCAGTGTCCATTTTGCAAACGAAATTTTAACAATCGCCGCTATTTATTGCGCCATATGATCAAACACACTGGGGACAAACCCTTCTCTTGCGCCAATTGTGGAAAACAGTTTTACCGTAACATATGCCTTAAAATTCACAGTCAGAAGTGTTCCCCTCCTGAAACCCGAACTCTCGAGTCTGAAACAAAGACAAAAACACTATATCCGTGTCCCTATTGTCCACGGAAATTTTCTAAGAAAGACCGTTGGAAAAATCATCAGCATGCCCACAAGATAAATTCTGTGCATCCATGCTCAAGATGTGGGCAGTACTATGGACCTAATAAAATGAAACAACATCAGAGGAACTGTGAAGAAACAACAGAGCTGAGCACTGGCTTATCTCATGACACCAACTATAATAAAAGCAGTCTACCAACAAACCAGGATACTCCTAAAATGTCTACACAGCCCAATGCAACCACTCTGCTTCAGTTTAAATGCCCCTACTGTACCCGGAGGTTCAGGTTCAGGTCATTATTCTTGAGACATCTGGTCTCACATACTGGTGAGCAACCATATGCCTGTATGCACTGTGGTCAGAGATACAGATCAAAGACATTATGTTTGCAGCATGAAGCTTTCTGTGACGGTGTTAACAAAGATGCGCTATCAAAACTCAAAAGCACTGCTGCAACGAAACCTCCCAACATTCCTTCTGCCATAGAGGCAGAACCAAAGCCCAATGCACATGGTGAAACGGAGTACAAGTGCAAATTCTGCACCAAGACTTTCATGAAACCAAGGTACCTGAGACGTCACATTCTGACACACAATGAAGTAAAACCATATCGCTGTAAGGCCTGTGATAGCTGCTTTTCAAGGTACGATCATCTGAAAGTACATCAGACTCGCTGCAAAGGTAAAAAAACAAGGTTGGAGGTCCGTATTCCCAAAATCAGTTTAGAAGATGTTGGCAAAGGTTGGCAAAATAAGTTTGGCATTGAGAGTGCTAAAGAGCAGGAGATGTTTGAGTGTAAGGTCTGTTCTAGAAGCTACACAACTCAGTCTAAACTTTCCCGACATTTCACCATGTTCCATGCCACAAAGTTATTCAAGTGCACACGGTGCGGCTCCTCATTCGCTCATGAAAAATCTCTGAAAAAGCACAAAAAGATGAGAAGGTGCAGAAAGGTCTTGAGGGAAACAGCAGCTGCTTTACTGCAGGGAACCTGTCCTCCAGCAGAAAACATGCCAGGATCTCTTGATGGGATCAGAAGCCAAATGCTGAAGAGGATCCAGCCTTGCTTTAACAAGAAGTACAAGTATGTTTGTAGCTATTGCCCCCGTGTTTTTGGAAACAGCTGGCAGTTAGGTGTTCACAACCGCCTGCACACAGGAGAGAAGCCATATTCATGTGATTATTGTGGTGAGAGATTTATAAGGAAGGATTATGTCCAGCGTCATTTTCCAAAGTGCCCCAAGAAACACCAGACAAGTACAGTTCTCTGTGACCTATGTGGTGGCTTTTTCCCTGCAAGCAAGCTTGAAAATCACAAGAAAGGTTGTGGTTTAACAACAAGCTCATCACCAGTTTTCCAAAGCCAGCAGTCAGCCACTCATGACCCACCAAAAGGCTTTTCTTGTGCATACTGCAGCTCCCGATTTCTGCTTTTTTCACAGCTCCAAGAGCATTTTTTGAGCACGCACAAGCTGGAAACAATGACTCATCCAGTGTCAACTGCCCCCCTACAGCAGCTTCTGTCAGGCATCAAAGAAGAGCCTGTGGATGAGAGTTGTGATGAAAGACTTAGTGACAATTTAACACAAAGTCTTAATACCGCTATTAATATGGAGCCCTCCAAGCAGTTTTTTTGCCAACAATGTAATATGTTCTTTGCAAACAAAGCGGGACTAACTGGTCATCTCCGTACACATGCAGTGGGCCATCCTTTTAACTGCAAGTCCTGCAATAAGGGCTTCTGGAATAAAAGTCTCCTCCGAAACCACTACAGGAAGTGTAGAAATGGACGTATTCCAAACCAGCAGTTGGAGACACCTTTAAAAGCAAATTTTGATTTTGCTCTTAATCACTCTGCTCTTGCGTTTGGAGGCGGCTCTACAATGACTAGCACTGGGCTTTTCTGCAACAATGATTTAATGGACGAATCAACAAAAAATTCAGAAGGAAATGAGGTGCAAAGCAGCTCAAGTAAAGAGAAGAAAGCCGTGCAGTATCAATGTTCAGAATGTGAAATGAGCTTCACAGATGGCTTAGTGCTCATCAGTCACCTTGAAGACCATGGAAGACAGGAACAAGAGAAAAAGCGCAATACATGTCCTAAGTGTGGGCGGGTGTGCACTAGTCAAGGAAATCTGGAAAAACACATGAGGATGCACACAGGCGATCAGAAATTCCCTTGCTTCGACTGCTCCAAGCTGTTCTATACCAGGTCTGATCTTGAAGCCCACAGAACATGTCACGATCTAAGCAGGCCATATGCTTGCAAACTGTGTAATCAGCGGTTTTGGACAAGACCATCTTTATGCAGCCATTATAGGGAGGATCATGAAGATGATGTATTTAGTTGTCGATTCTGCAGCAAATCGTATGCAGTAAAAAAATCACTAGCAAGACACTACAGAAACTGGCATCCAAAACAGTATAAGGATATCAAGGCTGCTGTGAGGGAAAAGAGCAGCAGCGAACAGCACTCAAGCAGCCAAGTGAGCACAGCTGGTGACAGCGAGGAGGATGAAAATAACGGCAGCGAAGACAGTGACTCAGACTCCGCACCATACTTCCCGTGCCACGTGTGCGGAAAGACCTTCCCAACGTCAGAAAGCCTTGAGGATCACCAGCTCTGTCACCTGGGTGAAAAGCCGCATGAATGTGAACAATGCGGTAAATGCTTTTTCCAGGCATCTCAGCTGCAGCAGCATCATCGAATGCACAAGTCTGAATTTCAGTGTCAAACATGTGGCAGAGGGTTCATGTCTCTCTTTGCCCTGCGTAACCACAAGCACAGTCATGGTAAAAGTCGCTCACATCGTTGTTCCAAGTGTCACCTATTTTTCAATGGACCTTTGCAGCTAGCAGAGCATATGTCGACCCACCGTGAAGAGAATTTTCCATGTGATATTTGCAATCGTGTGTTTCTGTCAAAGAGTAGCAGAGCTGAACACTGGAAAACCCATTCCACATCAAGTGACCATCCTTCACCTTCAGTGTCAAGGGGAGAACGTGAACAACCTGCCTCACGCTCTGAAAGCTCATTTGTATTCACCTCAGAGCTTAAATACCGCTGTGGTGTTTGTAGCGAGCGCTTCAGAGATCCAGAGGAGCTGTCAGAGCATGGCTGCATGGAAGCTAAAGAGCGACCATACTCTTGCACCGAATGCAATAAACATTTTCTTCATGCATCTCATCTGAAAAAGCACAGGAATACCCATCAACAGTTACAGTCCAATCGTATATATTCTTGTAATCAATGCAACAGTAGCTTTGCTTCCTCTCAGCTCTTCTTGACCCATCTTAAGAGCCATATTGGCACTGTAGCAGAAATTAAACAAGAACTTGATGATGAAGATGGTGAACCATCACATGTTTTTAAGTGTCCAGTTTGCAGCCAGTGTTTTCCATGTGCCATGGATCTGTTTCATCATTTCCCAACGCATCCTGATGGTACAATTGAAAAAATTAAATTTGCCTCTGGAAGCAAGCTTAAGGAACACGAGCAGTATAAGCTGACCTCAGCTACTGAATATGAATGCACAGAGTGTGAGCAGGGCTTTTTGGGAGAAGCTGCTTTCCGCCAGCATAAGTGTTCCGGGCAACAGCAGGCAACAAAAACAGAATGCTCAAATCCATCCTCTAAAAAATCCAGCCCATCATATTTTCAAGCAGCAGCAGCAGAGGAGGAGGAGGAGGAGGAGGAGGAAGAGGTCGATGTTACGGGAGATGACTTGTACAACTGCCTTGTCTGCTCAATGCGGTTCACCTCTAAAAATGTCCTTTTGGAGCATCAAAATAAAGAACATCCAAATGAGAAGCCATTCACATGTGAGCTTTGTGGAAAAACATTTGCCAGGAAGCGATACCTGAAAGAGCACGAGCGCAGGCATCGTCAGAAAGCCCAAAACGAAACTCAGGCTGAGAATAAGTTCAAATGTTCCCAGTGCGAATGCAAATTCACTACAACCCAAGAGCTGTCTCTGCATATGAGAAAGCACGCTGAAAAAGACGTTGGAGAGTACCGATGTGACATGTGCTACAAGTCATTTAGCCAGTGGTCTCTTCTTAAACAGCACCAAGAAAGTCATGTTGGTGAGGTTGTGTATGAATGCACAGAATGTGACAAAGCCTTTGCTTTTCCTCACCTGCTGGAGGAACATCAACAAACTCATGCGGGGTCCACTGAGTAATGGTTCCTAAATACCACATACTTTAGTTACAGGTATTCAAGGGAAGTTAAGGTGTCTTCAAACCCTCTTCATGCCTTACATCTAACAGTAAATCTCCACTTGTAACTGATAATTAGAATTACTCCTTATTTGTTTCCTCTTGTGCGTACTTGGAAAGCACTTGGAGAGATATGAGACTAAGATTTTCTGTGATGGATCTTCTCCTGGGTTTTTATTCCCTTTGTATATACTTTTAGTTCTGATGTTGGGATTTGTATACAATAAATAAGTAACATAGCTTCTTGACAGTATTTGTAAAATTGTCAAAAGAAGTTTAATATTCTGTTTAAACAGAAAAGGCATGACAGAATAATGTCTTGGATTAAGACTTAGATTTCTGATCATATATTTTTGTTTGTTTGTTCGGCATATATTTTGAAATAGTTTTAAACAGTTTTTTGTTTTGTTTTTTTGGTTTTTGTCGGTATGTAAAGTAGACTTTACACTGGTCATTTTAATCCATTGATATTTTGTATGGTATGACCGTTCATGTAAAAAGTATATATGTCTATATATATATATATAATTTGTAGATTTTAGTTTCTTTTCCTTTGATTGTCAAAGGGTGCTTTTTGATAAAGAAAAATATCTTGTACACTCAAAAGATATTCTGATTGAATTTTCTTTCCACAAACTGATGTTACTTTGGAGAAATTTGAGTTCATGCATTTAAGTAAAGTCAGTGAGGAAAGCTATCTGTGTCTTTGTGTATTTGTTTGCTCTGGGGAAAAACTAACAGAATAGAAGCTGTGAAATTTTTTTTAGCTTGTCAGGAAAATGATTAATTTAACAGGAACAGCTGATTGGAGGAATTCACCAACCAAAATTAAAATGATAAAGTTTTTCCAAAATTCGTACATGTTCTTACTTTTTTTTTCTTTTTGATGAAGACCATTATCAATTTGAGAACTCAAGATGATGACCGTTTTCACACAGTCGACAAAAAAATACATGGGGGGGTTGTCTGTTTTTTCAGATAAAATAAAATGGACTTGCATTTTTCTGGTGTCAAATACTTGTTCAACCATGCTGAAGTCAGCTTTAGAAGACTTAAATAGTTAAATTTTATTAAAGTAATTTGCAAACTGATTTTTTTGGTTGTAGTAGAAGTAGTAATACCTTTATTCTTCAATCACATCAGGATGGACCCTGTTACATTACTCAGTAGTTCCTTAGTTCTCGCATATGGCCTCTGAAGTTGTTCTTGTTTATGGTGGATCAGGATTTGGAGGAGGCCTGAGGTTAATCCTCCAGCTTCTGCACATATGTTGAAGTGTCCTTAGGTAAGATACACCCCAAATATCCCCTAATGTGAGTTTGCATGTGTGTGTCCATCCTCATATAGGTTGTTACTCTCCATAGAGACAGTAAATTATGTCTCTATGGATGGTGCTTGCACCAGTAAAAAAAGTGCTTTGAGTGCTGGATAAAAGTGCTATATATTTCAATCCATTTAGAGAGGGTAGAAGATTGCCCTGTATAATTTTTTTTTCTTTTTACAGATTAGACAGACACTGGTGATATTACTGCTGTGAAACTTGGGGTTCAGTGTTGGATACCTAGCCTTAACTAGTTAAAAAAAGTAAGATTAGTTAGCATCGAGGCAATTTTGTCATTCCAGCACACGTATTTTCATGAGGTGAAATGAACTTTGCACTCAAGTGCTCGTGAAAGCCACCAAAAGTAATAGCAAAATATACAGAAATAAGGAATACCGAGATATTTACAGTTGACGTATATATTAGAAAACCGCTGTTTTTAAATTTAAGAAAACAGTGTGTGGCGGATAGTGCAAAGACAAGTGGATTCACATGTCTATTACCCTTCGGCTGCGAGCAGCAGAAATGAGATGGCAACAGAGTTCAACGGCCCTCAGGAAGAAGCTGTTCCTCAATTGACATTGTAGTTCACAAGTTGTGCTTTATCCTGAGAAAGTAGAGGTTATGGTGTACCAGAAAATGTTAAGGTCTTTAGTGGGGAGTGTACCACGATACATAAAGCTGCAGACCACTTCCACAGCTGCTCCCCTAATGTACATAGGTGGAGGGAAGGTTTTGCTGCTACTGAAATGATTATCTCCTTTGTTTTCTTGACATTGATGCAGAGATCCCTGCACCAAATCTCCAGCTGCTTTATCTCCTGTCTGTGTTCACAATCATCATTTTTGGTGCTGCATTCCACAATTGCTGTGTCATCTGCAAATTTCACAATATGACTGATGTGATGTTTTATTTAGCAGTCATCAGGTGGCCACCTGATTAATATTGTCTTGGAACTTTCTTTGTTGCCAAAACAGCCTTGACTTGTCAAGGCATGGACTTCACTAGATCGCTGAAGGTGTGCTCTGGTATCTGGCAGCAAAATATAAGGAGCAGATCCTTTAAGAACCATAAATTGTGAGTTGGAGCCTCCATAGGTGAGACTTGTTTTCCAGCACATCTCACGGATGCTTAATTGGATTGAATTCTGGGAAATTTAGAGGCCAAGTCAACAACTTAGACTTTTTGTTCTCTCCATTCTTGAACCATTTTTGCTTTGTGGCAGGCCGCATTATCCTGGCAAAAGAAGCCACAGCCATAAGGGAATACAGTTTCCATAAAATAATGTACAGGGTCTGCAACAATGCTTAGGTAGGTGGTATGTGTCAAGGTAACATCCACATGGATAG